CAGGAAGAAATAGTATGAATCCTGCATGAAAAAATATTACAATATGTATTAATCTCCCAACAGGATTAATAGAAAGTGAACATGTTTAGACCTTTTCATGGGAAAGGAAGTAACTATCTATCTAGTGAGCATAAAGTGTTGAAAGCGTAGCTATCTTGTGCCTTTCAAATACGTGACTGCAAGAAAAAGAAGTTTTTTAGAAGTTGTTCAATTGGGTTTTCAAAAGGATGAATTCCTGGTTCCACAATGCATCCCGATCTCAGTCCTTTCAGCAGAGATTGGAACAGCATTCACTGAAACTCAAGCACATGTAGCATTAAATTAATTTTAATTTAATTTTACAAGAAGAGCTTTAACATTGGCCTACTATAACTGCTTTTCCGTCTGATCTTTTACAGAACAGATCTTTTAACATTCCTAATGAATAGCATATATTCTTGACTTTTAGATAGGGGAAAATCAAAATTATAGATCATGCAGTGTTGCACTGTATTCTTTTATAGAGAAATTCAGTGTGTGTCTATATGTATTTCTCCTATTACAAGTTAGTATTTAAGCAGGATTGACAATGATCTCTCAGTTTCTTGTGAGCTGATCTGGAGTAGGAACCAAAGGAAACACAGTCAGTTTCTCTATACTGGCTATTATGGAATGTAAACAGTTGCTTCAGATAACGTAGATGCAAGCATTTTATATTAATGTAATTTTTGCATGGGTTCTGATATATTATTTTACTCATGTTTCAATTTTGATGTACCTATTTTATTATTTTAAGTTACTCTGATCTACAACCATAACAAACTAAATTAAACAAGCTCATTTCTGATCACACACCAGTAGTATTTTCATTGGTTTTAAAAAGTAGAATATCATCAGATGGTATTTTAATAATTCTTTGCTGGAAGACTCTCAATTTGTTGAACCACCACAAAAAAAAATATAGTGGGTTTTTTTAACTCTTTTTTTCTCAAACAAATAGAAAGGGCAGATTGGGATAAGCATATATTTATGGTGAGATAATAGCCTACACCTCCTGGAGGAAAAAGATGTGTGCGCTGCAGCATAGAATATGAAAACTGGAATTAAAAGAAGCACTGAAAGTGTATTCTACAAATCAAACTCAGAATGCATATTATGTTTTAGATTCGTTAAATTACAGCCAGATCAATTATATGCATTGGAAATGGAATATTTCATAAAACCAATGAAACAAACTTATTGGAACAGGGAGTTATTGGGTTTTCTCCTAAAACATCTGAAAAAAGGTAACATAATGTCTCTTATAGGGATTCAATTGTCCAATTCATAGAAATTATAATGAAATTCATTTTCAACTTTTAGGTTTTATATTTCAGCAAATAGTGTTATAAAAAAGGAGTCCTGCTGATTTTACTCTTAGTCATTGTCAACTATACGGGGTGATGCTCATCTCCGTTTCAAGGCCATTGAGCCATCGCTGTTCAAAGATATTTGCACAGTCATGTAGCCAACAGAGTGCTCTTACCTTCCCACTCTTTATCCACTCTTTATCTACTATTTACATGCTTTCCAACTGCTAGTTTGGCAGGAGCTGGGGTGAATATGGAAGCTCACCCCATCATGTGGCATACAGGACTTGAATCTGGGCTGCCAGCTTTCCAGCTAACAAGTTCAGCATCTTAAACACTGAGCCACTGCACTGCCATAATAGAGTTATGGGCAACAACCATTTTTTTAAAAAAAATGCAATAAGTCATCCAGAAACCTTAACTCAGAGAATGTAGTTGCGTCTATGACACTACAGAAAAATCTATGAAACTACTGATGTAGCAACATCCAGAAAGGCCCCTGGGCCAGATGGAGAATCCACAGAATGGGATAAAAAAGGAATCTCTATACTTTTGAAAATATATTAAATATTTTATTGGGGGTGAGAAAAGAGGCCCTGTCATTTTCTTATTATGAAGCTTATATAACTGAAAGTTTGAAAGCTGATAAGGACCTGATCCACTGGAGATTATGGCTGGTAAGTGATGTTGCTAAGTTTTTAACAGATGCATTGCAAGATTAGAGAAGTTTATTTACCTACAATAAACAACCTTACATAATCTGATTCTATAAATACATCATGACCCAGATAAAATTACATACTAGCTTTGTATGTTAGTAAACATCTATCAGTGCTTTTAGCTTTGTTGGATGAAGAAAAAGCTTTCAATACACAGTCCTGTAAATTATGTTTTATTTCAAGAAATGCAGAAGTTTAGATTTCCTACAGAAATTATTTCATAGATAAGAGTTTATTATTCTAATCCCTCTGCTCAAGTAATTACTAATGGGATTATCTCACTGGTACTTAAATTGCAAAGTGGCACGTATCAAGGATTCCTTTATCTCTCTTAATTTCATATTAAACCCTCACTATGCTTAATAAGACAAACTGGGGAAATTCAAGGAATTCATTACCCAAATTTGAATGTGTTGGTGTTACATATAGATAATATTATGGGTTTTTTTAATGAGTATTCACATTCATTCTTGTAAATTTGCAGAAATTAAACAGTTATTGGGTAGCAACAGAAAATGTTGTAGGTCAGGATTGAATAGTGAAGTTCCTGATGATCTCTGAGCTCAGCTGTTTGCTTGCAGGTCTTTCCTTACCAAACTACATAATATTTCAGTGTTGAAGATGTTATCTAATCTGATAAAAAAAATATATGCAACCAACCAACCTCGCAGAGCACCAAGGACAGAGCACCAAGGTATAGGGTAAATATTCTGTCTATATAATCAATAGGAATAAATCAAATACTGTATTATACTAATTGTAAAGCAGTCCCAATGGTTTAGATAAAAACATAAGCTCTATTCATCATCCAGAATTAATTAAATATATGGAGATATATTACCTCTAGGAAAATAAATGGAAAATATTTAGCAGACAAAAATATTTATGTATGATCCAGAGGAAATAAGGTATTAAAGTATGGTTAAAACTACCTTTATGAAACGTAATAATGTCATAAAAATTACTTTTTAATCAAGTTTTATATGCTCTTTTAGGTGGTTCCATTTAAATATTTTAAACAGATTAAATATTTAGGTGGTTCTAGTTAAATATTTTAAACAGATTAACAAATTAAATTTGAAGGACAAAACAAATATCCAGGTTTCCCCTGGATTATATATCAAAGTTATAAGTTGAATATTTTAATGATGGTTTTACTTTCCTTCATTTTAAGAATATCCTTGGCCATATTTGTCAGTTATATAATGGAATGAAAGTGATATTAATTCTCTACCAATGTGAGCTTAAAAGTTGTTATATATTGAAATATAAATATTGAAAATATATTTACTGAAAAACAAAATCATATTTAACACAAAGAAAAGCAATGAACTTCATTTAGGAAACAGAATTTAAATGGTCAGATATATCACAGAAAATACTCAACTAGGCAATCATGCTTGTGAAAAATTTTTTAGAAAAGTAACTGATTATTAATTGAGCTTAAGTCAACAATGTATGATGGATGTAAAATACACCAATCGATTTTAGGCCAAGTTTTAAAAGTATAGTTTCCAAATAGAAGTATTGATCTTGTTTTATTTTTCAGTGGTCAGACTACACATTAAGTATTTTGTCCATCTGATACTACGCCTCTTTAAAGAGGATTTAGTCCAGGTAGAACAATGTGTACAATTGAAAATAAATTCTATAAAAGAAATTAAAACATCTGGGATTGTTTAGTCTTGCAAATAGAATCGATAGTGGTGATGGATGAATTACGATAATCCTTCTATAAGTGCCACAAGGAAGAAATATGTTCTATATCAACTATCTCAAGACATGCAGCAATCTATTTGTTTTATGAAACCTATTCCAGTTTAATATTAAGGAAAAAAATCAAAACATTACAAGCAGTTCAATAGTAGAAAAAATTCCCAGAGAGGCTATTTGTTTCCATTTATTGTTAAGCATTTAATTTGGATTTCTGGATCGATTGTACTAAATTGCTAATAATGAAGTTCTTAAAAAATGAATTAGGTAGGGCTGAATCACCACCACTATAACTTAACAAAAATAATTTAATTGTGAATGCTTTTCATTTCAAGTTGTAGGTCTAATGAAAATCAGTATTTATTATAGAAAATAATTAAGAATTAAGAATAATTAGTTAAGAATTAAGAGTGAATAATTGTTAAATTACATATTGTTCTTCAACTTCTTTCTTTAATCTATTATCTGGCAAGGCTTATTTTTGACAAATTCATGCTAATTCCTGATGATTACCATGTTGAGCTACCCCATTTCCTTGAAAATAAGACTATTCAAAAAATAAGACCTGTTTTTATGTGTGCGCCTAATATATGTCCTACACCCAAAATAAGCCCTACTTAAGAGCCTGTGCAGCCGGTGGCCTGCCCATTCTGTCTAGTTGCTCATGGAGTCATGGCCACAAGGAGAGGCACAATGGTGGTGGACCTCCCTCATGCACCCTGCACTGACTTACCTCAGGGCCCCTGCAGCTAGGCCATCTATATACTGACACCTGCCTTGCAATGGCAGCACCAGCAGCCATGTGCAGTAGCCCACGTGATTACCTGTCCACTTCTTCTGCTTGCTCGTGGCTGCAATGGATGAGGCCAAGCAGTATGCTAATGCTGCTGTCGCGAGGTGAGGCAGATATTGAGGCGTGGATGGCCTGGCTGCAGGGGCCCTGATGTAAGCCGGTGCAGGGTGCATGAGGCAGTTCCACCCCATCACCCTGGTGCCTCATGATGGCAGCACTGACACAGTGTTCTGCCCTGTCATGAGCAAGCAGAAGAAATGGGCCTCCCATACGTGGGGGGAAAATAAGACAGCATCCCTCCCAGTGCTTATTTTGAGGCCCAAAAGAAAATATGACCCAGTCTTATTTTCGGAGAAACATGGTATAAGTAGTTTGAAAATCATCCCTATATAACATTAGAATTGAGGTCAGGAAAACAAAGAAAAATATCCATTTTATTATCCTTACCTGAATAAGATAATGTGAACATAAACTAAGCATTTCCAGCAGCTGGAGATGGCTTCCTGCAGCAAGTACATCCTGAATCACTCCTGGCTCCAGCAGAACCTTTAAGCAAAGAAAACAAAATCAAAGCTTTAAAATTTCTCTGGAAAAATGTTCTGGAAAACATTCAAAGTGACATTTCTTTTTTTAATGTAATTTTGAATAATAATTTTTATTACAATAGTAAAAATGAATAACTAAACTCGCATAATAAATAAAAATAGAGAAAAATAAAAGGTGCAGTAAAAAGATGAAGAAAAAAAGAAATATAATAAAGAAAAAGAAAATAAATATATAAAGTAATAAATTCTAACCTTCATCACATATATAAACACGGTTAGTAACTCTTCACCCTTACAAAATTACAAATAAATTATTAAATATCTGTTAATAATTAAAAATTTAATGAACAGATCTATAAAGTATCGTTTTTTTCAATCCTGGTATCAAAAAAAGTTCACAAAACATTACCACAACTGTGCAAAATGAATATCTTATTTTAACATTGATTAAATAAATCACTTTTATTTCTCCCCTTTAGTTCTAAGAGTCTTAATCTTCAATTCAATCAAATATTGTCATGGGATTTAATTTATCTTTAATCTTCTTTATCCTGTTGCAGATTTCTTCAAGGATGGAACAAGTCTCTTTTGTAGATTCAATAAGATAACACTTTAGAAGTGATTCATTTAGTTTGTATTTCCCTTTTAATTTTTAAATATTTAGTCAGTTTCTTTTACGTATCTAGTAAAGGATTTTTTTCCAAATCATTCTCTTGAACAGTCTTTTGTAGTTCCACACTCTGTACTTTCTCTGTCCTTTAAGACAAAATTCGTTCCACATCTGTCATTTCTTCATTTTTTGGACATGGTCTATCTATAGAAGCAGACGTCATTACTGATAGTATTGATATTGTAGCTACTAATTTTTGGCTCCATTATTTAAAGATTCCCTTTAATGTTTCTGATATTTTTGGCATTTTGTAAATCCTAGTATTAACTGACATCAAGAACAGGTTTGCATGTTTTCCTTTTTCTTAGAATCTTTAGTCCCCTCTAGTGTTCAGCTTCTAAAATCATAAAATAACTTATCTTTGTTATGGTTTATAATAGCCAGGATAGACAAAATAAGCCTGCTTCCTATAAGAAACTATTTTAATTAAGTGTTAATTCCGAACACTTATAATGAAAGTCAATATTCCAAATTTATCTGGCCCATTAATCCACTTATACATTTCTTAGATTAAAAAAAACATATTTAACTTTTAACTGTTTATCTCAAATGCATTACATTCTTAAGCTTATAATCAATTTTTCATTTGTTCCAAGTTGAAAATAAAACTTACCTGATGACTTTTCAAACTTGTTGTACCCAAAGTCTCTAATAGCTTTAAGATAGTTATATAGGCAATTTACATAAGTAGTTAGTATCCTTTAAAATGGTTTACCACACCTGCAAGCAAGTTAGTTGATCCCTTTGTCTCCCAGTGCTTAAATCAATGGGAAACTGTCGTCCTGCAGTCTCTACACAAGAAACATCATTCCAGAGTATATGAGAGAGATCTCCCACCCTCTCCTTATCTTATGTCCTCTATTCCCCAGTATCTTGGTCTTTGTCAAGGTTATCTTCAGTTTCTCATACCTTCCATGGAAGTCCACAAAGTGACATTTCTTGATGTCCTTTTTTACAAAGCTGCAGATACACAATTTCAAATGTCCCAAATGTGTTTGAAAGCTTTTGCAAACAAAATGCCTAGCTAGTGTTACAAAGTACTGGTTACAAGAATGTAAGCATAAGATCTATACTTATTTCTAGGGTCACAAAGGTGGTTTTCTAAGTTAAAGCACTCATAGGTATGCAAAATTCTGCATTAAACTAAATCAAACCGTACAATTCAATGTTACAGTAGCTGGAACTATCTGTCATGTTTCTGACAGATCTTTCAGTAAGGCCAAAGCAATACTGCAACATAAGGAAGAGCAAATTCAAGGCAGCAAAGGCAATAAAAGTCTATTTAGAAAAGTCTATTTTCCAAACAATACACTAATTGCAAGATGGAAGTAACATACATAGGAAAATGTAGCAAAGCATCCTAGATTGAAGTTATGTAGAATATAAATATATGAAGTGTATCAGAATGTAGCAGTAGATATTTGGTGAGAACATTCTGTCCCGACATAACTCTAAGTGGTCCCAAATCCAGGTAAAAGTGACCTTCACTTTAAGGCCATATGATTAGACTAAGAGATTAAGCCCCAAAGCAGAACAGGAAACATTATCAATACCGGTACCAAATCAAGATGCACACAGCTTGAGCAGCAAGGCAGAAAATTCTAAAGAAAAAAAAAGATGATCTATGCAAAAGAAGATGATCATATCAGTTTGCTGTTTTATGATATCCAAATACAGTCTCATTTTGCCAATGATAAATGCTAATCCTTTTAAAAGCAGAGGAATTTTTTTAAAAAATATCCATGAGCATCCAATGAATAAATCAAGTCTGCCTTATAGACATCCGAGACATCATGTGTGTGACAGAATCCAATCTGGGTCGGTCACTAGGACCAGAGGTTTAGACTTCCATGCTTTCGGACTCATGCTGGAGCCCAACTTCTTCTCCCTGAGGATGGGCTCCAGTATGAATCTGAAAGCTTGGAAGATTACGCCTCTGGTCCTTGTGACCGACCCAGATTGGATTCTGCAACATTATCCTGGGACACGTATATTTGCCATCATGCGTGTGAATCTTTTTGGGAAATCATGCCAGTGAGGAGATTGGAAATGGTTAAAAAAGTTGTTTTTATAAACCTATCACAACCTAACTTAAGAAAATAGTGCATAGTTTCAATGTCTTCAGGTAAGGAGAGCTATTTGATTCAAGGTGCATGAAACAGACTTTAAAAAGTAAGTAAAAGCCCTCTGGATTGTACTAAAAATGACTCTGGTGTCAGCCCCAGATCCATCTTGAATCAGATTTGGGGCTGCCACAAGGGAGGATGAGTGACTGTGGGAATGAAGATAAAGTGAGAAGGGAGGATAACCACAACAACATTCTTTCGCCAAAGCTCAAGGCTGAGTCACTGGAGTTTGGAGGGGACTTGGCGGGACTTCATAATGCAGGTGGATTGGAGAGTGTGTCTTGAGGGTCATCAGTAAGGGGGTTGGATGTGAGTTTAATTTAGCAGAGGAAAACATGGGATTTCACATTCAGGTTTTCCCAGATGTGCCAGTATGACTTCTCTAATAAATTCTTACTTGGATGGACTTTGTCTCTGAGTGCTGAATTGAGATGGAGAGTTTGGTTGGAACACTGACATTTAGCAGCATTAGGCAAAATATGCTACTAAAAAGGGTTTCTGAGACTTGACAAGGTAATACAGCAATTCAGAGTTTATTAGGTATGGCCAATTTATTATCGCAGTTCAGAGCAAGTGTAGCAGTGGTGGGATTCTACTAGTTTCCCTACCAGTTAGGTGATCGCACACTTCACACATGCGCATGCGCACCTAACACATGCGCAGCTTTCCAAACACCAGCTGAGGCTCTGCTGCACCAATCAGCTGAGAGGATAAAGAACAGAAAAGTGCAGGGACAGCTGGGAGGGCCAATCCTGAACTTTTCTCTTCTTTCTCATCTCAGCTGATCGTGGGAACTTTTTTTTACTATCAGAACTGGGCCGAACCAGTAGCATTTTACCACTGAACTGTAGCCACTACACCAGCTTTAATTATTAAAAATTTATACATGCCATAAATATCCTTAGATTTTCAGGGATAAGGTTAGGGTAATCAGAATTCCCAAATATTTTTTAAGTGAACATCAGCAGAAAAAAAAGATTTTTGTAGCGTGACTGCCATTTGATAGTTACATTAAGTTGGCTCTATAGCGGTTTTCTATATTCCCAGCTACCTCCTGAAAATTACATTGCTAGCTGCATGCTTCTGAAACAAAGTTGGAGACCCAGACTGAAAGATTAAATAAAGGTTAATCAAACAACAAAAATCACAGTGATGTTGAAATATTATATATCTTTGCAGTATTATTAGGCAGCGCTACATATGAACACTGCATTTCAATATAATTCTTTCTCAAAAGAGTGATTTTCCTATGAAGCTACCTAAATCATTTATAAATTCTCATGAATCATGAATCCAGCTTTTAATGAACAGGAAGAATTAATCTTCACCAGATTCCTTCCAATTCCCAATTTTAATACTAAATCCCCGCAACACCCAATGTTTTCACTAGAGGTCTCAAGATATCCACCTTCTCCAGGAAAGAAAGTTTTATTTTCCTACTATCCAAAATATGTAAGGAAGTAAGTAAAAGAACGATACAGGGTTTTGTGTGAAATATACCTTAAAGAGAGTAAGCTTAATTAAATACTTCAGTTTAATTAAAATAAGTTTAATTAAATATTTCAAATGTAGCACAATGCAGTACAAAACATCAGGTGCCTACTGGTAAGATACAGAAGGATCAGCCTATCATGAACAATCAAGCATGCATTGTGTCTTAAAAATAAATGTTGAATTGAAACCATAAATACGTTTAGTATAATCAGAGAGATTATACTAAAAAGATAGTAAAAAAAAAGTATCAAAATGTGCTAGGATTTAAACTGACAGGAGCACAACATTGGAAAAGTGAACCTTTGACAACTATATAGGAAAGAAAGATCCAAAACAGAACACTTTGCATGGGTGAAAATGTCTGCATATATTCATAATAGAAGCTTAACTAAATTCAAGCATGAATGGCTGTTTTACATTTCAAAGACCAGTTTAAACGTTTGGAACACAATATGCTTTTAAGAAAAAATAATCAAGAGATTAATGAAAAAATATCAGACAAAACTATTTAAATAAATAAAACCAATAATCTCATATATTTCAAGATAAAGAGAAATATTTAAGCAATAGTTTTAAAAAAATCTTAAAGGAGGACTAATGAGTTTTTTTTCCAATTTTGTTTCAGTTATCTCTATACCTACACTATTTTTCACCAACAGCTTGAAGAATGTAAAGTGAAAATATAGTTACATATTTTAATAAAGTGTGCACATCACATCATAATTGTGCACAATCCACAAGGCATGTTTTCTCCAAGAAGCTCAGTATACATGTGTGCGTGTGTATGTGTGTATGTTTCATTTCCTTGAATTTTATCCTTCCATAAATTCTGTAAAATAAATGCTACTGGCAAAAATAGTTAGTTTATTGGCTGAACTTCACAGCTATGTAAGTATTTGAATAGGACACCTGTTATATCTCTTTGCTGAACCCTTCCTCTCCTTGCACTTTTTATACAGCAGATACTGTTTATAACACAAAACACAAAAGGCCTCTTTGACATTTCACGAGTTCCATGACAGATTTAGACAAATCAGGATTTGGCTACTTACAATTCTAGGATTTTAATTTCAAAACTCCTTTCAACAAGATTAAACAACCAATTAAATATGAGTTAACAGTGTGCAGCGGCAGCCCAAAAACTCAATGCAATCCTAAATTGCATTAAAAGAGGAATCAAGGGAGTACTAATACCACTCTATAAAGCCTTAGTAAGACCACATCTACGGTATCCAGTTTTGGTCACTACCCTATAAAAAAGATGTTGAAACTCTAGAAAGAGTCCAGAGAAGAGCAACCAAGATGATTAGGGGGCTGGAGGCTAAAACATATAATGAACAGTTGCAGGAACTGAGCATGGCTACTCTTGTGAAGAGAAGGACCAGAGGAGACATGATAGCAGTCTTCCAATATTTGAGGGGTTGCCACAGAAAGGGAAGGGGTCATACTATTTTCCAAAGCACCTGAAGGCCAGACAAGGAATAATGGATGGAAACTGATCAAGGAGAGATTCAACCTGAAAATAAAGAGAAATTTTCTGACAGTGAGAACAATCAACCAACAGAACAGCTTGCCTTCAGAAGTTGTGGGAGCTTCATCACTGGAAGTTTTCAAGAAGAGACTGGACTTCCATCTATCAAAAATGGTGTAGGGTCTGCTTGGACAGGGGTTGGACTAGATGATCTACAAAGTTCCTTCCAACTCTGTTAATCTGTATCTGTATTAACAGAGGGATAGAATCAAGACCCCGTGAAGTGTTAGTTCAGAATTAGTTCAGAAGAACTATTTTATCCCTGAAGCCACCTCTTTGTACAGCAACCAATAGGTGCCTATTGAAGGACCAGGTCAGGCATGCTTGGTCTTCAATGGGAGAAAGAAGATGGTGAAGGTCAGCTAGAACATCAGGAGCCATGAAGTGCAGGAGACCAAAAGAGCATAGATGGGGAGGGAAAGTTGAAGCCCTGCAATTGTATGTGCAGGCTGCCAAGCACCCAAATTTTGATCACATGACTGGGGGGAAGCTGCAATGACCATAACTTTGGGCCAGCAGTGGGATCCTACCTGTTCCACTACTGGTTCGGTGATCGCGTGTCTGCGCATGCGCACCTAACATGCACACATCTAACACACACACACGCAGCTTTCCACATACCAGCTGAGGCCTGCAGCGCCAATCAGCTGAGAGGATGCAGAAGAGAAAAGGGTAGGGGCAGGTGGGACAGCTGATCTTTTTTTCTTTCGCCTCTTTCTCCTCTCAGCTGATCATGGGAGGGTTTTTTTACAACTGGCCAAACCGGTAGCATACCACCATTGCTTTGGGCACAGATCAAAAGTTCCTTTGTTCAGTGCTGCTGTAACTTCAAACAGTTGAAAACCAATGACTATCTGTGCCTTGTCTTTGCAGCCAGGTAAATAAATCAGGCTGCTGGAAATGATGAACGGCAGAAGCAAGGAGGAAAAAAAGGAGCAGAGAAGAAGGACCTGAAAAAAGTGAGCCCAGGAACCCCCCTGCACTCTTATTTGCAGACAAATAAAGCTAAGACAAGCTAAGTTCTACCAGATTTTTGCAACCATTCCTTTCTTTCATCCAGATTTTAAAGTAAGCAGCCACAAAAATAAAAACTCAACACTATAGAAAGATGGCTTCCTTCAACCAAGAAGTAAAAATGTCAGATACTGATCAGTTTGTCTTTCTTGGGTAGCTCTCCACAATTCCTTGTTCTCCCTACAATTCTTCAGGATGCCTTACTTTCTAGTACGTAAATGATCTTAGCTAGCTGCTCCAAACTGATACATTTTCTCAATGGGAATAATTTATGGAAGGTCATACCTCTTGGGAGGATATCTTTTAAACAAATGATAAGCATTTTGGCAGCAGGGTAAAGAGGGTATATGGCTGCGCTCTCAGAGAAGAATGGAGAAGAGAATGCACAAAACCACTCATTTGCTAACAAGTGTTTTGAATTACAGCTGTGTGAAACCTTAAGGATTTCTCTAATATTTCAATGGCATTGAGTTATCACATGGACACTGAAACATCTCACTGTTTTTAACCTGTGGCTTCTAACATTTGACACTAGTCTCTCAGGAAAATATTCCAGGAAAAGCAAGCAAATAAAACAGTCCCTTTTCATGTATGGTTACTGTTAGGATGGGAATAAACTGCAAAATCCAGTTTAGAATTCAATCTGATTCTTAGTTCAGAAATCCAAAGTGTGATGTCTTGGCATTTGTCTACAGTTACTGCAGTCTTTTTCCAAGATGTATCTTTATCTCATGGTTACAATTAAGAAATCTGTTTTTGAGATTACACTAAGGAGATAAAGCCAGCTACAACATCTTCTTCCAGCCATCAATTTGCCATTTGAGATTGTTGATTTTATAATTCTAATTTCTATTCTTTTTAATCCAATAGTCTTTGTTGTTTTTAAACAAATAACAGGGAAATATACCTCCTTGGAGAACTGCTTTCTTTTCAATCATTCTATTGCTCCATATATCAATCCAACTGTTGCTTCCTGGTCATCATTCAAATTCTTCAATAAGCAGATGGGGTGTCTAGTACACCCATGTTTTAAGGACTATTCACAGATTGTTGTGATTTTCAGTCAAAAGCTTTAATATAATGCAACAAAAACAGATATCTTACAGGAATTACTTTGCCTTTTCTATTTTCTACCCATTAACTTCTGAATTTAGCTTATGCATCCAGCAGTTCACGTTCCACATATAGTTGTGGTTTAGATTGCAGAATGTGGAACATTATCTTATGAGTGAAATTTAGAGCATTATTATGAGTGAAATAAGAGCAATTGTTTGGTAATTTGAACATTTTCTTATAGGGTCATTTATGGTATGTAAATATTTATTTCACAATATTTACAGCCTGGAATAAACAGGCTGTGGATGAGGTACAAGAAAGAAATATAAATTGATCTTTTCATTCCCTTGGCCATTTGCTATTCATATCTACTTACAATTCACAAGTAGCATTTTAACTACATCATCTTGTGATCATACAAGATGGGCTTAATAGCCACTATCAACATTCCTTGTAGATTGCTGCTTGATAGTTTTACTGGGAAAGGGATCAGAATGATTCTATACAAAAAAACTGGTTTCCCACTTTTAGACATGAACAGAAAACCAGAATTTTATTCACCTTCAGTCAAGAAATGACTAATCAGCAGTTTGGCAGAAACAGCATGCCAACCACGAATTAAACTTTTGTGGCTGAAAGCCATACATGGTCATAAGTTTTGCCCTCTTGACTCAAGAAGGGAAGTTTTTAAATCACCAAATGATATTTAATGGAATACTTAAAACCATATTAATATAAGATTGGAGAAGACAGAAGCCCACAAGGTTGTGTCAGATTGGGTTGAGAACTATGGAGGAAAGACAACTACATTTTTCTTCCCAATACAGTACATCCCTATGGACAAGGCAGTTGGACAGTGAATCAGAATTTTCCAGTTCTCCATTCTGCGAGATATATATCCTTTCTACACCTCTGGCCCAGAACAGAACTATTATTAAAGAGTCTGAAGAAATTCCATAAACCCTAGTCTATATTGTTTCCCTATCCCAACTGATCTCGTCAATATTATAAGTGATTTGGTAAAAGGGATTCACATAACTTTTATATGCCGATTAAGGACTGTAATATTATACCTGTCCGGTGTATGCGAAGTCCAGAGCTTGCTTTAAACCTATTCCTGTGATGCCATGTAAATTCACTTCATCTGCACAGCTTTCAACCATACAAAGACTGAACATTGCCTAAAAGAAGAAATAAAATATGTATTCATTAAAACTGTTATGCATAATGTCCATGTTAAGTATCAGAAAACAGTGGTTGTTCTCTTGCTATTCCTTTAAAAAGACCTTTGTTAAACACGGACTGGCTTCCAAATAGCACAGAGGTTTCTATTCATGTGACAAAGACCAGGCAAAGAGATTGTCTCTGTAATTTTTCTTTTCTCCTATACAATAAACCTCTGTGTCTTTTGGAAAATTGCTTTGGAAGGCTGGAAAAATACATAGGGCACTATATGAAGAAGAAAAACAATGATGAAAATCTTAGAGCAGAATTTGTGGTGCCTTTTATAAACCAAAGGAGCAGTTGCTTCAATCTGGATCTACTCCAATGAAGTTACTAATCAATATGCTATACCTTCAAGGGAGTCAAATTTTGGAGTTACATTTTGCTTTATTGCATTAATATTCTTCCATTTCTGTAGGAGCTTACAACAAAGGACACAGTCTTCTTCCATTTTAATCTGTCATTAAGCCCATAAAGAAGGCTAGGCTGAAAGATGATGACTTTAAGTCAAAATATTTAATCTGCTGAATCTGAGTGTCCCCAGTCCTAATCTGACATTGGTTTCGCTGTATATGGCCAGAAGATTGCACTATGGAATGTATTAATGGGATTTTGTTTTGCAATGTTATCTTTTAATCACCAGAAAGGAGGCATAAGAGCTCTACTTCTCATATATCAGGGTAGTGGGATGGACCAGTGGAGGCACTCCTGGAAGATGGGTATTGGCAGCAGAAATTACCACTCTCTTTTGTTTTAAAAATCTTACTGAGTCCCAGCAATCTATACTTGAATATCTAGGAAATGAAGAGAGATACCTGGAGTTTTGCTCGCAGTGGCATGAATTCTTTCATTATATACAAGTAAAAAAGGACTTTTTAACAAATTAAAAACAATATTGTAGCAACTGCTATGAGGAGCCCCTAAACTATAGGTCTCTACTGGCCAGGCCAGGTCTAAATATACAACTATACATTTTCTTCCTACCTAAGCAGTATTCTTTTTTTTCCTGGCTAAGCAATTTTTACACACAGCCTTAAATCTACACCCACAGGGCCTTTTCATGCACATAAGGTATTCCAGCTTGTGAAAAAGCCATAGGAAACTACTCCCACAACACTGCTCATAAGTGAAAGCCTCGCACTGAAGGACAAGCTGTGTTTTTGCAAACATTAATAACACCATTGTATATCAGGAAAGCAACATATGCTGCCTCTGGCACCACAATGACTAATCGTTTGAATCCTCTGGCATTCCACAACTTCTTCATATCCTAATCCAACTTAACACTGTATATTTTGCCAAGAGATGGTATCACTTTCACCTCACTTCTCAATTATGTACTCAATAAAGTAAAACACAGCATAGTAGCATCTAAAACTGACTCAATACAGATAGTCCTTGGGTTATGACCATGTGTTTAATAACTATTCGTAGTTATAATGACACTGGAAACTGGATTTATGACCTGTCGTAGCATCCATGTGATCAAAATTTGGAGCCGCACTTACAATCATCATAGTGGTCTGCAATTCCATTCTCTTGCCCTGCATGAACTGCCTCAGCTTCAATTTCCCCCATCAGTCTTCCCAATGTTTGTCCTTTGAGCTCCCCTGCACATCATGGTGATGCTGCTATGTTCCACTCTCCCAGCTGACCTTTGTAATATTTTTGCTTCTTCTCCACTCCGCTGAATGGTCTATATTAGGGGTCTGCAACCTTAAACACTCAAAGAGCCATTTGGACCTGTTTGCCCCCCCAAAAAAAGAAAACACTGGGAGCCAATAATTTAACAACTGGTATGACTGGGTGGGCGTGGCCAACTCGATGTCACTCACTCCCACTCAGTTACCTCCTTCTCTGGAATATGGAGCGAGTCTCCATCCCCCGCCATCACCCTTACCTTCTCGGGCCAGACGAAGAGTGACAGGAAGGGGAAGGGCCAGCCAGTGGTGGGATCAGCCGACAGGGAGCCGCAGCAGAGAGCCAAAAGAGCCGCATGTGGCTCCAGAGCCACAGGTCGCAGACTCCTGGTCTATATGGCCGTAAGCCACAGTGTAGGGACTCTATCACTGCTACACCTGGAGGGGGCAACAGACTACAGTGGTATCTTCATCAAGGTGGCCCAAAAAGGCAGAGATGAGCTCCAACAGAGCTCCCAAACCTTAGGGCTTGAGGCCAACTGGCATCAATGAGCCCAACAAATGGGAAGAGAGGGGAAGATGATGAAGGCGGGTGACATCATGAAGTAGCATCCCCATCTTGGTTAGGCTATACAGGGCAGTCAAAAAGACAAGGAAGGGAAATAGGTGGAGGGACGGAGTTGAAGCAGAGGCAGTTCCCACAAGGCAAGAGAAATGAGCTGATTCCCTGAAAGCATCCCTTGCCTTGGGAAAACCATGGCTCAGGGCTCAGAGGGACCAAATTGGGAATGGTTTGGATTGGTGTGGGAGCTTTCAAGTAACAGGAGACATGCTCGCCATTTATAACTTTCCCAGCCAGCTTCTGATAAGCAAAGTCAATGGGAAAACAGGTAGGAAGTAGCATATTGCAACCACCTGATGTCCTCACCTAATAATCACACTGTCTGGAACTGCTTTGACAGTTCAACATGACGTTTAAGGTGGATTTTTTTGAAACAAAAAACTTAAATTGTACTTTTTTTTAAAAAAAATAACATTTTAAACTGACATTTAACACTTAACAAGTGTTTTGCTTAGCAATGGAAATTCCAGTCCTGATTAGGATCAAAAGCTAAAGACTACCTTGTGACTACCAAGTTCACCTTGTGCAATAATAAAACCATTCTGAAAATATCCAGCCAAATGAAATTATAGTGCATTGAAAATCAAGTAATTGAGCAGTTTCATTTTGATCAAACTGAAGCTTGCTAACCAGTCTGCAAAATGCAAGGAGAGTATATAGAATAATGGCAGTGTAGGCTGAGAATTAAAAGAGAATAAGTAACTAAGGTCAAGTCAGGTCTGCTCACAAAAGGATTTAGCTGATAGAAGATTAATCCTGCTATCTAGCCATACGGTAAATTACCCAGATTCAGGGACACCTCCTAGTACACACATATTTCAAAAAGATTGCAAATCCTAATAGGCTGCAATCTTGTCACAATCTTATGTCCTTCATTTTATCCAAAATCATTCAGATCACCACAAACAGAGAACATTCTTTTATGGCTCATGAATGCATTAAAGTGATTATTACTTATTTAATTCATGTTTTCTTTTTCACTCTCCCCTCCCCCTTTCTCTCCCTCCCCATATCTACCCTGTTTCTCCAACAATACGGCCTCCCCCAATAGGAAGTCCCAGCATGTTTTATAGGCATGAAATGAAATTAAGCCCCTCCCCCCAAATTAAGGCCTATATTAAAACAAGCAAAATGGGGGGGAATGGTAGGGGGGCTTGCCGTTAGGAAGTACTTTTGTTGCACATCCAGATATGGTGCTGCCTGTGTTGACCCCGATACGAAGTGACCCACCAATGCCAAGGTAAACATCCAAGCCGTCGCCGCCCATCCGAAGATGCAAGGGGGGGGGAATTAAGTCACCCCCGAAAAGACAGCCTAGCCATTTTTTCGGGGCTCAAAAAAAAATAAGAACCAGCCTTATTATATGAGAAACACGGTCTATCTATCTATCTATCTATCTATCTATCTATCTATCTATCTATCT